GCCTATTGTGTTTTAGATAATGTTCAGTGTGTTGTAAACAGTGAAAATATTCAGCTCATCCTTGACATTATGTTAACGCCACCACTTTATGCATCAAAGGAGATTGTCACACTGGTTGCTATGACAATTACAAACTGAAAGTGTGGGTGGCAAAATGAAGATCTCTGTCATCCCTAAAAAATATATGTGTGAATTATCCAGACACCTTGAGATGAGGATTGAAAAAAAAATGTTTGGATAATTCAAAGTTCCAGATAATTGAATACCTAAATTAATTGGGGGTGAAAGACAAGTCGTTTTCCGAAAGAAATTTAGCATTTTATCTCATCAAATGACATTTTCAAATATTTTGTTCTTGTTCAATTTATTTTTGATGATAAAGTGCATCAATTTTTGTCTGTTTCCAGCTGGCCTCCTTTCTTTTTCTTCACCCCCCCCCAAGCGAAATTGAAGTGTAACCAATTTAAATGTTTGTCAAATGTAATCATTATTTTGGTGTTTAAAATTGGGCATTGGGGCTGTTGAACATGAGAAATATTATCATTACCCTCTTCTTTAACATTTTCTGGTACCAACAATATCCTCCTAGTTGCTTCGTCATATGTTCATTGTATAAAAACAATGAGGAAATTAACACAAATTAGTTGATTTTGTCCATATTTTTTATCAAATGTCGAGTATGGTTCTCTAAATTCTTAAAGTGCTTGTCTGAGATTAATATCAGAATGATTCCAGTTAAGATAATTGAAAAATGTTTGAATGATTTAAATTTTTCTCTTCATTTGACATTTGGGTAATCAGCGTCTGAAACGTCAAAGTACAGATAATTGAGGAAGTATTGTAATAATGAAGTGGCTAAGTGTTAAAATTTTCTTAAAACTGATGTGTGCTCTACATGTGGTGGTTGCTTCTCTCCATGAAATCGTTCACAATGTTATGCACTTTGGTTTGTTTGCAACAAAATAAAGTCTATATTTTGTTCCAGGAGGTCTATACCTCCTCCTTGAGGTTGTTGGGTACAAATTGATAGCCAAGTCATTCCAAAAGACTGAATAATTTGTCTCCATCCATTAAACGCAACCTTGTGTCACATTTCAGCTTTGTGAAGAAATATACTTTTATTGTAAGTTTGTCCATTCTTCTATGTGCCGTATCCTTTCAAGATGTGGGCGATCGTGACTCTCCACAATTTCTTGTCCTTTGTATCACTTACCAATGTTTGTCTTTTTGCTATCTGTCCTGCCAACCATTTACACAAGCCTGGTAGGTTAATCGTTGCTTTCTTCTATTGTTATTGCCGTTGATATGTTCTGTGACGGTTAAATTTTCCAAGCCCTCTTTTGTTATGTACCTTAGAAGTTTCAATTGTTTCTTTCTCATTCTACATGTCTTTTTGTTTCCATTTTCCTAAAAACTTTGTCATTGCTCACATGTTCAGCATCCTGTAAAACCATGTTTCTGCTACTTCAAGTCTTTTCTTCATCTCTGAGGAGATTACTCAGTATTCACAGTCATCTATGAGGTCTGGTACTACATAACAGTCCGGTACTCTTTTCTTTGTTCCTAACAAAATTTTCCTGTTTTTTAATACTTTAACTTTTCAAAGGCATCTTTGGCTGTTCACTGTGCCTTCAAGATTTTGGTGTTGCATTTTTCTTTTCTGTCAGATTTATTTTTCCATCTTCCTAGATATTTAAAATTTTGTACTTGTTCGATTATAGTGTCTCCAATTTGTAGTTCACATTATGGGTTCTTCCATTTTGATAACAACCATAAATTCTGTCTTCTTACAATTGATAGTCCTTTCTTCTCGCTTTCCTTTAGAGGCTGATGTCATTAAACAAGAAAACGAACAAACCACTTTCCTTTACTAACTTCTGTCAGAATGTCTACTGTTTGCCCATTACTTAAGAATTTTGAATGGAGAAATACATTCATTTTTAACAGCTTAAGATTTTTTTTAAATGATTGTTTACATGATTGATTTTTTTTCTATCTGAATTTCTGGAATGAGAAGTTATCATTATTTAAGTGCAGACTATTGTCCTCATCTTTGCTATCACATTTTGACTTTTGTACACTCCAGCCATCGTTGGATTACTTGTTGATCTGAGTAATCTACAGGTAATTTGGAATTGGGTCCCTCTATTTAATCTACAGGGGGTAGATTATTCTAGACATGGGCAGCAGAACAAGAACAATCCATGGATTAAATAAAATTTCTTTTTGAAATTACCTGTAGGTTACCTGGATCAATGAGAATCTGATGTAGGTCAGATGGCACAAAAGCCGAAATGTGACAATTGCAACAAAGATGATGACAATAGTCCACATATAGTGACTATTTTCATCAGATCAAATAATTTGATACTTATTGTTTTTGCTTTTAAGAATGGTCTTTATTTAGTTGTCTTCTAGTGTAGTTAGTCTATTGACATTTTGTTTGATTTTAATAATGCCAGAAGATCATTTGATCCCCAGTGAAAGCACATTGACATTCATGGATTAGAAGATATACTTTTGTGAAAAACATCTTTATCTATTCATAAATAATGAGATGAATTTACATGCCAAGTAAATATGGCCATTTGCTATTGGATGTTGTGTCCATTTTTAGTTTTAAGGTGATTACTTATACTGAAGTGTTAAAGAAATCATTTGACATTAAAACTGTTTTCTAGATCTCCCTTCAGTAATAATGGGAGAAAAGAATTTTCATTTAAATTATCTATTGATCAGGTTTTAAAATGGCATTTTTTAAACCTTAACAAATATTTTATAAATTAGTCAAAATGTTGAAAATACATTCCCTATTTTTTGTCACATGCTTTTATCTGTCATTGAAGAGATTACCTGTATTTTATATTTTCTGCTGAAATTATTTTGAAACTAAGAGCTCCTTGTCAGTTTTTGTTTAAAAAAAAAAAAAATGATTTTACTTATTTGTTTACCAAAATGTGTTTTGTTTAGACTTGTGTTCCGATGATTCCATGGGTTCTGATTATGCCCTTCTTCTCATTTTATGAGGGTCCTTTTGTTGAACATAAGCCTTCTCCAGATTCATGGGGGACAAATGAGCCATTTACTCTACCATGTTGATCCAATGTGTGTTGGTGGGGAAGATCTGACACATTTAGGCAATTTGCCTCTTTTTCGATTAGCAATTGCCCAAGTGTATTTGCTGAAGTGAATGTAGGAAGCCTGACTGAAATTTGAACTCAGCTCTCTAGTTTTTTCTCATCCTGAGCTGTTATTCAAATCACCACTAAAAATAAAATGTTTTCTTTGCACATATCCTTTTAAAAGAAATTGAGCATTTAAAAATTTTTCAAGTTGCATTATTAACTGATAGACCTTTTAGAACATTTAGAGAATTTCAGACTTCTGTTTGATTAGCCTTTTCTGTCTTAATTACAACAGAAATTAACCTGAAATTAGTGCAGAAAGTTAATGATTAATGGCATTTTCAATCTAGACTAAACTCTGCCCAGAGGTGGGATTATGTTGAAAAAGTTGAAACACTCTAATCCAATTTGTTACTGCTCCAGTGATAAAAGCAAAATAGTGTGAAATACTTGTCTTCCTCTAATTATTCACCTTTTCATCAACTTACCTTACTGTCTTCTAAATTTTGGGTTCTACTGAGTCTTTTTTTTTTTTTTTTTTTTTTTTTTTTAACCTCATGGTTCTGCTTTGAATGATGATTTTATAAAGATGATAAAAGGTGTTATATTAAAAATGTTGATCTTATTATCAATTATAATTTAGCAGTAATATGAAAATCTAATATGATGACAAGTTGTTCTAACATTCTTATCCTTGTTGGTTTTACCACTAATTTTAGTCAGATGTATTCTTTGGTCTGAAATTTTATTAAATTTCCACAAATTGTTCAGGCTAATATTGCCATCTTTGCTGTACAACCCCTGGCAAAAATTATGGGATTAGCACATTTAGAGAATGTTCACTTTAGTTTTTTTATTTAGCAGTAAATAAACTAATAACAGATAAGATGCAAAACATTTTTTTTTATTATTTAATAACTGAACATTCTAGCTTCATAGAATATACCTTAACACTTTAGCATTCAACCCACCCTGTAGATATTAGCTCTCAGTGTTCGACCTGCTGCATGTATACTCTACCACAATATAAGACATCATTGCAAATAACACAGGAAATCATGCAAACAGTGAGACTTTGAGAGTCGATACGTATGGGGTGTGTTTGGGTGTGTTAAATGTTAAAGGGTTAAACTAGAGTAAATTTCTTAAATTAATAGTATAATGATAATGATGCCTTATTAGCCAAAAGAACTAATGGGAATGAGAATATTAGTCTGAACAATTCATGGAATAGTCACTATGAGCAAGAAATGACCACTGCTTAATACTTATGCTGCTGTGGGCATACGTATATATCTTTATGGAACTTATATTACTTGCTGTCAACATGTATATATGTTTTGAAGACACTGATGTCAACCCCTAACATTTGTACTATAAACTAACTAGCGCTATTTTTAAACCATCATAGGCGTATGTCAGTGGACAATGTGACCTGTTTTGTGATGTGTTTTTATTATACATTTAGCTTATTCTGTATAGCAGAGTATTTGATCATAAGCAAAATGGTGGCATCTGTAAGAAATCGCCATCATCATTTTTAGTCATTTATTTACAGAAAATGACAATTTCCTATTTTTCCAAAAACATTGCTGCAGTGAAAGTGTTAAATTACTACTCCTGTGCTGTGTTATCTGATGATGGTTGGAGTATATGTTAATCAAAATAAAAATGAACATTATGGATAAATTAATCTTCAAACTGACTAAATTTTTTTTTTTTTTAAAGAAGCTAAGAAATGAATTGGGTTCTTAGGAAGATCAATCAGACTTGATAAGGAAAATTATTTTGAATAATTTACAATTATGGAAAACATGAATTTTTTTTGTTTTTTCTATTTACATTTATAAAAATTTGTTTGTGTGTTATTTACAGACTGACCTCTGTGGTATAAAATGGCGTAAGTTGAACGCAGACAATGTGATTGTGGAACCACTGGATGATCCAGTGTTAGACTCCTACTCGAGGTGCATCCAGGCAGACATCTTGTGTGTCTGGAGAAGAGTGCTGCGCAATCCAGAGCAGCGCTTGACTGATCATTTAGCCTACAGTAAGGAATTGTGGATCTTTTGGTATGGGGATGAACCCCTCAGCCTTGACACCCTCCTTTCCCCCAACCTCAAAGGTAAGCAATCACAATATCTTATCTTCAAACTTTTTTTTGCTCTTGATATTTGTTGTCTACCTGTAATTTTCACCTTACTTCTACACCTTTTGGCATACGAGGTTGTTCCTGATAAATTTGTTGATTTATTTAAGATAAAATTTAAAAAATATGTAATCAAAATATCCTGTCTGCTCTCGGCCTCTGTACATTTATTTTACATTGGTGACAAGTTGTTGATTCCTTTCTGAAAGGATTCTTTATTCCAAAAAGTAAATACATGATGAAAATGTTTATGCCCTTTTAAGGAAATGATCTAGATGAGTTGCATTTCATTAGTTCTAATTGTATTAATCTTTAGAATGTTGTAAATATAAAATTAAATTATTCTTGTAAATAAACAATCTAACAAATAGCAATTAATATTTTTGTTGTAAATTCTCAAGAACAAAAGTATAAATTCATTTTTTTCATGTGTTTTAAGTTGTATTCCAATTCCAGTCATTGCTTTTTAAAACAAGAAATATTTTTAAAAGCAATAAATATTGCCACGGAATGAAGGTAGTTGAAATAATAGTGGTGTCAGGAGAAAAATGGTCCTTTTCACACTGTTTTATTGCAGGCACATTTGTCGATGTTTGCCAAAAAAGAGTTAGGAGCATGGTAGGATGAATAGCAAGCATAAAATAAAGTCTATTTACAAGTGATTTAAGACATTATTTCTATTCACAAAACTGAGTTTTAAGTACATTATTTGTGCCACTCTTTGGCCACTTTAAAGAAGATTTAGCAAATCTTCCATTAAACTGAATTCTGAATGCAATATTTGAAATGAATCTACATGTTTGTGCAATTGTTTGCAATTTTTTTAATATCAAATGACTCCTGTCTCACAAAATTTTGAATGCATTATTTTAACTTAGTCTTAATATTGCAATTGTTTGGCCACTTTTAAAGAAGCTAAAATGTATCAGATAATTCCTCTTCCAACCAAACCTTACTTTGTAAATTGTTGTGCATATCTTCACTTATTAAACAAAATGCATTAGATATTACAATGCAATAAACCTATTAATTCAATACAATTTAACACATTGGTAGAAGTACATGCTTTCATCGATCTAAGTTTATCTTTCTTTAGCATTTCATGTTCTTTTTTTCTTTTACTTTTTTTTTTTTGTAAGTCACTCTTTAATGATTTGGCAATTTTTTTTCATTTTCTCTCAAGTGTTTTAATCATTTTTCATTGTAATCTTCAAATCTTGATTGGTCGATTGATAGTTTTGGTTGATTTCACATCTGAAATCAGTCTCAGTGTTGAATCAATATTGACCAGCATTGTCCCCAAAAATTGAATTTATATATTTTATAATGATCTACATTGTTCACATCTTGAATTATGAAAAACAAAATCATGAAGCTTTCTGCAAAATTGAAGATTTTGGATTATTTTCTATATGGAAATCTGCACTTGGAAATATTTGTAAGCCAAAATCTTACTGTTTGCTCATTAACAGCATTGTCCACAAATATGGAATTGCTATTTCTTGAAGTTTAACACTATACCAGGGATGGGTTGATTGTTTTGATGACATCCTGGACAGGAGATGCTTCTATTCTGTTGCTTAGATATAATCTGAAGAAATCCCAAAGGTTTAAAATATTGCAAGCATGAGGCAGCAACCTATCACACAAAACTAAAATTGATGGATTCCCAAGATTAATTGTAGCTTTGGAATAAGAAGACCAGAATGTCTTAAGATTTGAACAAAATAGAATTTATTTTAGTTTTTGGTTGAATAGGGGCCTGAAATTAGCAATTCTCTTTCCCCAGTTCTAATGATTGACAGCAGTATGTAGTAGTCTAAATTTTGAATTGCTCTTTTACAACTATGATAGAATGACAGTTGTGTATGTGTTTGCTCATTGTTTCACCTTTTCAAAGGTTGGGGGATAATCTAGTGGTTTGACCTTATGACAGTTGATATAATTTGCTCTCTTATATATCTTGTGTCTTTTCTTTCTGCTCGCTGCAGTAGGACTATTGAAATATGTCCTACACACACACACACACACACACACACACACACAGCTCAACCTGGTGGTATCACCCATGATGTATTGGTATGATTTGATCATTAATTTATATTCTCCAAAGATCTCTTTTGCTCCAGAAAGCACAGTCGGCTAACCACCTGACTGAGTTCTGATAACCTGCTTCCCAAAAACTAATCCTCCGATAAGGCAACTAGTGAATGCCTTTATATAAACAAACCACAAGGTTCGTTGGTTGGCTTTGAGTAAGCTTTTTGGAAAGCCCTTTCTTTGAAATTATTCTGCCTAAGAAACCATCCCAATATGATTGATGGGTCTTTATCTTAAGTGTTTTTACAGATGTTTTTTCTGGCTTGGAACTAATTTATTACTGGTAATCTTTTTTACCTAAATTAGTGAGTGTAGTTGATGGGTATAGTAGATCATACCCAGCTTAGTATTTAGGTTTAATTCTTTAAGATCTCCTCAACATATTTCTCAAATTAATTTTCTTAGTTTTTTTCCACATGTAATTCCAATAATCATTAATGGAGCCTTCTCTCAGGTCTTCTTTGGTTTTTTATATCATTATAACTGGGCCTTTGTACATCTAACCCTGTGTGTTGACTACTGTCAAGCATCCCTGAGGCTCTGCTCACTCCATATGAGTGGGTCACTATCCCCTTCAAGGTTCAAGATTAATGTTGGGAAAGTGACAATAGGATGTTTGTTTGAGATAACTGGTTAGGATTTCAGGGACAATGTCAGAATGACAGAATATTTTTAATTAAACTAATGTTGTATTTATTTTAAAAGCAACTAATTCTTTTAAAATAAAAAAAATTCTTACCAATAGTTTTAATAAATGGAGCATGCACATACAAAAACAAAAATAAGCAAAACTTAAGTATTTCTTTTTAAACTGGTAAATGAGACCAGAATGAAAAATGAAGGTTTTTGTTATCTCTAAATGTGAAAAGAAAAATATGACAATGTTATTGTAAGAAATAGGTTTGTGTTCATAAACAAAGCAAGAAAATTACATTTTTAAAAAAAAAAATTTTTTGTCTGTTTTTGGTTAACCATTAATTCTTGATGCCTTATTCACACTTCCCTTTCCACTGCATTGTTTTTTTTTTTTAAAGGCTCCTCTACTGCACTACTTAATTTCAGTCATGGTCATTTCCTGTTACCATAGTAGGATATGACAACACAACTGCAAAATTCAATCATGCTACTATCCATTCATCTGAGTCGCTTGCAGTGGCAGGATGATATGTTTGTTTTGCAAGCAAAATCACTTCCAGTATGTTAGAGGTTAAAAAGGTAGATTGTTAAGAAACCACATTAATGTGTTATGTTTTCTGCTTATCATAAACTAAATTGAAAAGCCAAGGGAGATTTTAAAGAATGACAAACAAATATGGAAAACTTAATCATGACACAAGAAAATTATTTTTCAATCGCTTTAAAAGTTTTAATTGTGAATAGTTGAAATATGTTAATATTTTTCATATAGAAATTGAATGTCTAGAACACAATTAAAGTCAAATAAAATGATACAAGATATTATTTTTATAAAATTTACAGTAAAACTTTACTAATTTGTTTTTGTATTTATTCATTTTTAAAGCTTAATATTTTAGCTTTATTTTTAAAAAAAAAAATTATTTTCTGAACATTTTAATGTTTTTATTATTTTTCTAATAGCTGCAAATGATAAATTGAAAAAAAAATATGATTTTGAGATGGTTTAAACATTTTTGAGGACAATTATGGCTGTATTTAGGGGTGGTTCCAGGATGATGGTGGAAAAAGTTAGGCTGGAGCCCAACATCTTATTTTAAAATCTTTAATAACATAGCTTAAACTAATTTAAAGTATAAAAATCACAAATAATATTGATAAAAATTGCATGTTTACCTTTACTACAAATTTGTGGAGCAAATTAAATTTTTACTTGATAATCAGCAAATAGATTTAAGAATAAAATATTCATTAAAAGTCAGGTTTAAAACAACTTAAGCAATTTGATATTGAACAATCTCAAGAAAATGATTTTTTTCTTCCTGTTAGCTTAAGCCAAAGATAAGAGAAAAATGTTTAAATATACACTTTTTTCCTTCTGAAATACTGTATATACTCATGTAACACACAATCTTGCGTATCATGTGACCCGCAAATTTTCACTTATAAAAATAATTTTATTATATATCTCCTGTATTGTGATATTTTTTCTTTTAGAGTCCAGATTTTCTTCTATCTCTTTATCCAATCTTCTAGTTAAATAAGCTAAAAAAAAAAAGTAAGAGAATGATAAAAGTATCATTAGTAACATTATAATCATTGCATAAATATGTACAGCTATAAATAATCGAACGAGAAACAGCTAAACATCATCTTATAAACGTAAACAATGGAAAAGATGTATATTTGCTATGTTGGTAATTTATAATACGATACTAATGTGTGAATATTACATGCATTATTATTGGATACAGTTAAGTAAAATGTAAGTTTTATCAAAATCATGTTTATTTTAAATACAGCTGTACTTTTTGACTACAGTAAATGGATATATAGTTTGGTCAATGGCATAGCCAGGATCAGCAGTAAATATGCTAATTTTATATCTCAGGTATGATGCAACCCCCTTAAAATTAGCTTTTCAAAAGTCACATGATACGCAAGTATATATGGTAAGTTAAAAAATAAAATTTGTATTCCTACGCAAAATCAGATTAATGATGTGATCAATTTTCATTGTAAGAAATTGAATTTTCAAAACATTCTCACTTAAAACCTCAGTAAATACAAAATATGCAAGTTCAACTTGACAATTGTTCCTTTTCATTATTTGCATAATCAGTAACTTATTTAGCAACAAATATGAGCAGACTCTAAAATTTTAGGGTGGTATTTTTTTTTTTTTTTTTTTTATTAAATGCAATAATTTTAAAAACGATCTGTTTATTGTCACTGTTGTC